GGGGTGGGCAGGGAGGGCACATCACCTGGTGAGTTGCCTGGCGGAAGCTCCCTCACCCCCTACTCTGTGTTAGAGATGCAGAATGAGGCTGTGAGGCCCTGACAGCTGGGGTGGCTACTCACACAGGATGAGCATGCTACTACTCCTGGACAGAGACTGCCTGCCTCTACCCTGTTCTCCCTCTGTCTCCCCTCCTCCCCCTGCTGCCCCACTTCCCCAGGAGGGTACAAGCTTCCTCCTGTTCACCCTGCCAGGTGATCCCACCCTCCATAGTCTGGGCTTGAATCATAAGCCAAGGGCCACAGCAGCTTCAGCAAGGGTGAAGGGTCAGGAGGCGAACTGTCAGGGAAAAGGCTGGAGACTGGGCCGGCCAAGGGAGTGGAGGGCAGGGTCCCACGAGGGCTCAAAGCCCATGGCCAGGCTGGACCTTTTTTGCTGGGCCTACCCTGTCTCTTGGCTTCTGGTACAGTAGATCATATGGCATTCAGCTTCGGCTGCAGTCTCCACTCCCGCTTCCCCAAAGGACAGGGCTTCTCAGTCTCAGAGCCACCAGTGGGGTGGGGAGGGGAGGGAGGATGAGAAAGACGGGTTCCCCAGAGCACCTCAGGAGAGCAAGTTTTGGATGTTATCGGAGCTGGCAGCCTGCCCCCTTCTTTAGAGTAGGTTTGTGTGTGGGGTGGTGGTGGTGTTTTGAGATTCAGAGTGCACAGGCAGACTCCCCAAGGGGCCTGACCCAGTCTCCAGAGCCCTCTTGTGCAGGGAGGCTCTTCAACCCCCCACTTGCAGTCACTTCCCCTGCCCAGAATTTGGGTCCCATGTGAGGTCCAATTTTCCCCAAACTGCCCTTACTAATGGGTTGGGAGGGGCCTAGAGGGTTGTCACTGAGCCAGGCTCTTCCCCCCATCTCCAGACTTCAGGGGGCTAAGCTGCCTGAGGAGCAGTGGGCAGTTGGGGGGAGGGGTGGCCATGCCGGTCATACCTTGGCACTCATCCACTTGTCTCTCTTCACTTGTTGGGGAGCATGGCTGGGTACCCTATGTCTGGGTCAGATTGATCCACCCTCTCCGCTTCCACCCAGGGGCCCGGGGCGGGGTGAACAGCGGCAAAACCAGGGCTACCTGCCAAGAAGCACTTTATGTGGGGCGGGCGGAGGCTCTGAGAGCGCCATCAGCGCGGCGGGAAGAGGCTGCCGTCCAGCTCCTCCTCCAGGATGGTCTCCACGCGCCTCCGCTGCGAGGGCAGGCGCTGGGGCCGGGCGCGCGCACAGGGCAGGCCCCTCTCCTGCCCCTCCCCGCTCCCGGTCCTGCGGGCACCTCTTGCCGGTCCAGGGGGTCCGGGATCCTCCTGGGTTTCAGTTGCGGCGGTAGGAACACCTCTAGTCGGATGGCGGCGCGCGCGGATTTCTGCCGCTGGATGAGCAGCGAGATCTCCTCGGCCTGCCGGGGTTGGGGGTGGCGAGCGAGAGAGCGAGGGAGCGCGGCCCTCGCCCCGGGCGCCCAGTCTACCTCGGCCCTCGGGGCGTGGCCCGCGAGCTCACCCGCATGCGGGCGTAGCGGAGCCGCAGGGCACGGACGCGCCCCCGGGCTTCGGCCGCCTTGAGAACACCCAGGAGCCGATCCTGCAGCGCAGGCGGCTCGAGAAGCTGAGTCCACGCACGCGGGTCGGGCATGCGGTGCGGTCTGTCAGCTCCAGCGACTCACGCGGGAAGGTGGACGCGGCCACGGCCACGTCCTCCAGCAGGTCGCCGAAGAGCAGGTGGCGGTGGCGCTGCGCGGGCCCCATGGCTGCCAGCCCCTCCAGCGTCAGTGCCCAGCTTGGCTTGCGGGGCTCCGTCGGGTACACCTCCTTCGGACACACCTTGGGGAGCCCTGGCCCCGGCACACCCTTGCCAGCCCGCTCCCGCGGCTCCCTGCGCCCAGCCTCCTTTGCCGCTGGTGGCTGCGTCCTAGGGCCCTGCCAGGGGAGTGGCTTCGTGTTGGCTTGGCCGCGCCCGCCTTTCTGCCAGGTCCCAGGTCCGGGCCTCCGGCCTGTGCTTATCCTCGAATGTTCCCTCTATCCAACGTCCCCTCCCTGGTATTGCGCGTCCAGTGGTCAGCTAAAACTTTGGAAGGGCTCGACTTTTCAGGAATTACCCTTTCTGCTAGACGTTTGCGCGCCGAGAATCCCCCACTCCCACCCCAAGTCCAAATTGATGCCGAGCCATGCCTAGTGGGCCTCCAGCGTCTGTTGGCAGCAGACAGAGAGCATCACTCACTCCATTGGGGGCGGGACTTTCACCCTGGTCTGTCACCCTGCGCAGCCCAAGGACCCCGCGTTAGAGAGGCCGGGCTGGCCTCCATTGAAAGCCCGGCTGCCTGTGTATGTCTTCGTGGGCCTGTGTGTCTGCATGCTGGTGTGTGGGTCAGGCCGTGTGTGTGCCCATGTATGTGTCCTGGGAGTCTGAGAGGGGAGTGACCAGCCGGCTCCGGACCTGTCCCGCAAGGAGGGGCAGAGACCAGCGGTCAGGGAGGAGGGTCCCTCTACAGCTCACCCACTCCTTTCTGCCCAGCCCCAGCCCACAATGCTTCAGACCTGACCTTGGGCAATGTCCCAACCCCCTGCCCAGCTCAGGGGATGGCCCCTCGCTCCCACCTTCTCCTGCTGCTCCATCTCAACCTCTGACCTGGCTTGTTGGTGTGGTTGCCAGGCAGCGAAGCCCTGCCCCTCCCCCAACCCGGCAGAGGAGCACCCCTCTGTGGGAGCTGAGCTGGGTGTCCAGCCAAGAGCCCCTCCATCCAGCCAAGAGCCCTGCACAGTGATTGTAGCCTCCTTCTCCCTCTCCACGTCCTCTCCTTCCTGTCTGGAAGGGATTGTGTGTGTGTGTGTGTGTGTGTACTTGTGGGTAATGAAGAGACAACCCTCTTCTGGGCCAGGGCTGTGGAGCCCCGCCTCCTGCAGTGGTAGGTCTAGTGGCCAGACACCCCTCCTACGGAATCAGGAATTAGGTGGGGCTATGGAGCAGGGCCTCCTTTTGTGGTCTCAAGTCTCGAGGCCCTGAGCCCAACATAATGCCTGCATTATAATTTCCCAATGTGGTTGCTTATTTTATAACTCATTTCTTTATGAATTTCTTCATCAGTTCCATCATGGATTTGGGACTTACCAGCTTCTTCCATATCCCCTTCGTGCTCACACCCCTCTGGGACTGAGCCACTCAGGACAGGACATGGGGCCACCCCTATGGGATGCACAGTCCTCAGTTCCAGCCTGGCCCCTGGCCACGCCCCTGGGGCCAGTGTGACACGGTAGGAGGCTGTGGATTGCTCCGCACCCAGCCAGCCCGCGCTTCCTGCAGGGGGTCGGTTGCAGCCAGGCCCCAACTGTGTGTGTGGAGGGGTCTAATGACACAGCTTCCGGGGGGGGCCTCTGGGGCTGGCCACCTCTTCTAGGCCACCTCAGGGATAATTCTCTTGAGCACTAAGTGCAGGGCTGGGGCAGAGGGACATCATCTTTGAAGCCAGCTCCTTAGGACTCTGTGGCAGGGTCACCATGCCTGGCAGATTCCTTGCTTCAGCCTGGGGGCCATGCGGGGGTGTTGCTCCTGGCGCCTGGCGGAGGGTCCCCAAAGGGAGAGCATGTGACTTTCCCTGCTTATTGTTTTAGGGCGTAACAAACATGACTGCTCTCTCCCAGGCTGGGAGGGGGATTGTAAGAGAGCACCTGTCTAGGGGAAGGTGCACTCTGAATTCTGAAGGAAGGCCCTAGTCTCCTTTCACCAACTCTGGGTGTTCCTGGGAGCGCTCCCTGGGTCTTGGCATCCGCCCCCTGGGTCGAGGACAGCAGTGCTCAACCTTCCTAACACCTCGACCCTTTAATACTGTTCCACATGTGGTAGTGACCCCCAACCATAAAGTTTTTTCATTGCTACTTCATAACTGTAATTTTGCTACTGTGATGAATTGGATGACCCCTTTGAAAGGGTCACTTGAGCCCCAAAGGGGTCGTGACCCACCAGTTGAGAACCGCTGGTCTAGGAGGTCCTCAGCTGAGAGCCAGTTCCAAAGAAGGTGTTCTGCTCTGAACTCTTTCTTCCTTGGTAGTGGTGACTCTCATTTGTCATTATTTTTATCTATTTTATTGTGAATTCGTTGAAAAATTACAGATCAGATCACCAGTTTTACATTTAGAAATTCATTTACTTACATTGTGTTTCAACTCATCCACGGAAATCCCCTCAACATCCCATCACTTATTCCTGGGCTAATCTGGGTCGACTAGAGAAACAAATCCAGAGACACTCATATGTGTGTACGAGAGAGCTATATATCAAAGAGCAATTGTCCTTTGAGAAAACATCCCAGCCCAGTCCAGTCAAGTCCAGAAGTATATTAGTCCAGAAATCCAATACTAGTCCATAAATTCCTCTTCAGACTCACGCAGCACATGCAATGATGCTGACAGCAGGAAGATCACAGGCCAGTGGGTGAACTGGCACTGTGTTAGACAGGGTTCTCTAGAGAGATAAAGCCAAATTGCTGATAATTTAATATATTTATTTATAAAGATAATTAGATATATAACAAGGAATGAACTGTTAAATCATATACAGTTAAATATATAATACAAGAATACAAGAAAGAAACAGTTAAATTATAAAGCACTACAAATGGCTCAATTCAACTCACTGCCGTGAGAGAGATGGGAGAGACTAGCAGTCCTTCAAGTCTAGTCTGCTGCCAGATCTTCCTCTATTTATAGAGCGAGCTAGGCTATGTCAGCACAGCAGCCAATCAGAAGGCAGGTCACCAACTGCCAGCCAGGTCACCAATTGCCAGTCCCCAGCTCCAGCGATCTCTTAAAGGGACCTCAACTTACAGCGACACAGTCCACAGGCTAGGCGTCCCACAGGTAGTGTAGCCTTTAAATTGAGGCACAGGACAAGCAAGGCAGCCGCACACTGGTCCGATGATCAAAGAGCGAGAGACAAGAAAGGCGAGGCTCACCGAGCCATTTATCTCTCTGCCCTTCAGTTAATCCCACTTGTGTTTATCGGCCAGGGTGACACAATAAACTCTCTCAGGCACCATGTGGCTTGTCAACAGGAATGTCAAGCAGAGAAAGAGCGCCACCTTCAGGGAGGAAGAGAGGAAGTCCCACAATGCTCATGGGAAGCCCACACCCAGAAGGAGGGATCACCAGGCTGTGACCTGACTGACAGGCTAGACTCCACCCCTTCACTCTTATTTATCAAGTCGATGTGAAGTTGGGTAAGTACCACATTCCACTTTCTCCGTTTCTATCCTTCCCTCTTTCCTAATGCTCAGAACTTTGTTCTTGAGTCGAGATCCTGCCCTTTCCACCTCGAATGGTTGATTGTTCAAGCACCCCCGGTGAGTTCTGTCCTAGGCCAGAAGGGTGACTAGGCGCATAGTACTGGGGTTCTAACTGTCCCTATCCGACCAGTCAGCTGGGTCTCTTTTGATGATTTTGGTTTCTGGTCCACATTTTCTCCCACTCCATCCAGGGTTATTTCCTCACCTAAAAGTGAGGTAGGGCCATCGTTGGGGGTTCCACGAGTCTCCACCTATCCACTTCTTATGATTTTGAGTTTTGCTGCATGCTGGTCCCTCACTCTCTCCAGGACCTTTGAACGAATCCCTTTCAGAGCAGTCGGTAGTGGTAGCCAGGCCCCGGCCCCCTCCTGTCTCCGGGCTGGGGTGGCTGTCTCCTCAGTCTTTCCTCCAGGTGGGCAGAGATTAACGTTTGCACCTTGGAGAGTCACTCACAAGCTTTTAAGACCTCAATCCCTCCTCACTAAAGTAAAGTGTAGAACACTGCCGTTGTGAACTATGATATGTCAACTTGACCTTGGTGTCCCGAGGCTGTGGCCCTGAACCCATAGGCCCAGCAATTCATTCCCTCAAGGTGTTTGGTAATGTCTAAGAAGTTTCATAACTTTGCCCCCTCTATGCCCCACCATGTTCATGGATATACTTATAGCAAATGTAAATACACATATGCAAATAGCCTGTGTATAGTCATGGGTGTTCCTGGCTCTCCTGCCGTCCCTGTGCAGCCTGCGTGTCTACCCGAGCATCTACTGGACATTGCAGGACTGTTTATGTGACAGTCATTACTTTTGTTGCTTCTAACTCTTTAAAACAACAACTTTTAATTAATTAATTAATTAATTAATTATTATTGTGAATTAGGTGAGGGCTTAAGGAGTAGGTCACCATGTAGTATTTAACAACTTGTCACACCTCCTGATACCTTGCCCTGTCCCTCCATTTCTTCCCATCTCCCTCTTATAGTATATAGATTTCCTCTTCATCCAAGTTAACACCCAGATGCCCGCTAGCCTATTGCTTCCTGTCCCTACCGCTGGTAACCACCAATGTTTCTTTTGGTATGAACGCCTTTACACTGGTCTATTTTACACAGCGCTGTGCTGTCATACGATGCGTGTTCTTTGGTGGCGGTGTAACTTTGTGTGACTCACCATACTGTCCTCCAAATCCACCAGCACGCCAGGTGTTGCGTCACTGATCTGCAGGATACAGAGTGTTGCAGCGTGTTGGCTGCACCCAGGCTGGTCTATCCTTTCCCCCCACAGTGGGGGTTTAGGTGGGTTCTACCTTCTTGCTATTGTGCAGAGTGCTGTGGTGAGCAGGGGGTACAGATATCTCCTTGCGCTGCATTCTTTATTTCTTTAGGGTGTACCCCAGGTAGAGGGGTGGCTGGCTCACATGGCATTTCCCCTCCCAATTGTTTGAGGAAGCGCCAGTCCACCCCCTCAGTGGACGGACCGTGTTACAGTCCCACCAGCAGTCTGAGGGCTTCAACCTCTCCCCACCCTCGCAAGAGTTTTTGATGTCCCATTCTCTCCTTATCTGCCCTGTGCTCTGCATGTGGGGTGCGGTGGGGTCTCCTGGTTGTTGTGATTTGCATCTTGACTGGCTAGGGCTTGGGAAGGTCTCCCCATCTGTTTGTTGGCCGTCTGAATGTCTTCTTGGGCGAGGTGTTTGTTCATGTTCACTGCTGCTTGGTGTTGAAGTGGGCTGCTCATCATTTTCTCCTTGAGGTGTTTACATTTTCTGTAGATTTTAGAGATTATTCCCCCCTCTGATATGCCACTGCCCAGTCGTCTCCACCCCACCCCCACCCCCTGTCTGTGGGATCTCTTTTCCTCTTTTGGTGAAGAAAGACTTTAGATGCACGAGGTGCCAGGCATCTCTTTGGTCAGCTGCTGTGTGCATATTTTTCCCTGTTTGAGAATGTGTTGGTGACATGTAGTAAGGCCCCCTAAGTTTGTCCCTCTGTTTTCATTGGTGATCTTTGCAATTGTAGGGTTTGCATGTAGGTCTTCAATCCATCTTGGGTTCATTTCTTTCTATGGAGTGAGGTCCCGTCTCCTTCTGCAATTGGAAATCCAAAGGGAATATCTCTTCTCTCCATTTAATGTCTTTCGGCCCTTTGGAAAAAAGGCACTTGTGGATGGATATAGTTCTGGTTCTCTGTTCTGTTCCATCGGTCCATGGATCTACCATTGTACCAGCAGCAGGCCTTTGGACTACCGCGGCTGTGTAGTAAGTTTTGAGGTTGGGATGTAGAGGCATCCTACTTTATTGTTTTTCTTTTTATTTCTGTTTAATTTTTCTTTTTTTCTT